GATTGCCCAACCTTCCTTCCAAGGAGTGGCTGGTGGGTTTGAACCGCCAGCCTTCTGATTAGCAGTCAAGTGCCTTAGGCACTATGCTACCAGAGTTTAGGTGGACATATCTGCCTATATTTTAAAAGTTAAAGATAATACCTGTTAGACAAGAAAATACTCCTCTGTTAAATTTATAAGAAAACACTTATGTTCAAAAATATTACAAGTTTTACATTGCTCTTTTGTTTGGCTGGAACTCAGTCATTTTCTCATTGAAATTCCAAAGAGTTCAAAAAATATATGCCTAAACCACTGGTTATGCATAGACATATATGTTCTAAATGTGCTCCAGTCATTAATAAAGTATTTTCATACTTACTCCTCTTAAATGAGGAGCTCTGGTGGCGTAGTGTCTAAGGCACTTGACTGCTAACTAGAAGGCTGGTGGTTCAAACCCACCAGCCACTCCTTGGAAGGAAGGTTGGGCAATCTACTTTCATAGTGATACTGCCTTGGAAACCCAAGGAGGGGTCACTATGAGTCGGGTCCAACCCAATGGCACCAAACAACAACAAACAACCTCTTAAATGATCACAGATCACATAATATTTTTAAATATTAGGAATCATTTTTTGTTATTAAGCACCAAAGGGATGATTTCTTTTTCTTAGTGACGTATCCCATTCAAATACTTCAAGAAATATATTTGTTCAGATAAAATGGGAAATGTGTCCATGTTTCAAGTACGTATACCACCTTGAGAATAAACTGGTAGCTGACAGAATTAAATTTTATGATGTTAGGTTCTGACTCAATTTATGATATAAAGCTTTTCTCTGTTCTTTTTCTAAGTATCTGACTGACCTATTTATACATTCTTGCATGTTCTCAAGAAACTATATTCAACTATTTTTATACTTCTGAGGACATGTGTTAATTACAAAGGAAACACTTTTCTTTCAGATTCTTTCATTAAAATCATCTTGCTGTGATTAAAGTAATCAGGTTTTAAAACATGCAAGTTGCCTAATTTTATTTTTAAGATCACTAGTGCCAGAAAGAAATTAGAGAAGTAAAGATGGATTAGGCCAATTCCCCTGAAATTTAGCTTCTTTTTACTCTAAACAAGATCACTTCTCTAGATTTGCTAATTTTAGATTAAAATTTATGTGTACTGACATCACTTTATTTTAGTCCCTTTAAAAAATTTCTACTCAAAATAACATTTAATTGCTAATATTGTAACAGTAAATGGGAATATAAAAAGCTTGAGAAGTTATTTTTAAGACTATAATTAGAACAAAAAGTTATGAATTTTATCTATGTTTTGAATTAATTCAGTGAGTATTTTTCTGAGTCATAAAAGTAATAATTTACCCTCTCACCCTAAGGATAAAATTTCAAAGATCTTGTGAAATTCCACTGAACAGAAATTCCAATCTAGGTTTTCAACCTAACAGGTGGAACACCTAATGCTCCATAGTTCTGCTATCCAATCAGCACTTTTTAGCTTAAGTTATCCTCTTGCTGTAGAATAATAGTTCTATAATTGGCTTCTACATGGTGTCAAAAAAAAGAAATCACCATCAAGAAGCAAAAATTCTAGAATCACAGTCAGGCAATTGAGCAGATCTAATATTTCAGTCTTCACTGAGATACCATTTTTTAAGAGTCAGCTAGTTATAACAGAAATGTGTGATGCACATCTTTAAAAATGGTTTGAAATTATTGAACAGTATAACAGAAACACATGGGAAGATTTCCAGCTCTCTGAATTTGTTTCTAAATACTAATTACAGAACAATGGATATTCAACACCGAAAAGCAAATCT